TGCGATTGAACTTCGTGGCCCATGCGCAGAAGTAGGTATTTTGTGGAAGAGCCACACTCAAGGGGCCAAAGAGCCGCATGTGGCTCGCGAGCCGCGGTTTGCCGAGCCGTGGTTTGCCGACCACTGTTCTAGGATATGCACAGTACTGACCACCAGACACTTCAAGGCCTTCTATTTCTATGTAACTACTGTTGTACCATCCAGATCTGCAGTACTTCAATGGACAAAGCACATCTTGTTTTGTTGTTCCTGCGTCCCACAGAGGAGCTATACCCCACAACAGGTCTAGAGCAAGTGTTTTCCTCCCGTTTTGTGAACTCACACCCGCTTCGTCAGGACTCAGTTCTGTCTGGGCCAAGTGCACGCCGCCACTAGCAGGCAGGGCAGTGCTCGGTCCACCCGTGAGCGTTCATGCCCCGCCCTCAGAGAAGGACGAGGCGGCCCACAGCCTTCATCTACGGCAGCGGGCCACGGTCCGCTGCATCTATAACTGTCAGTGCACAGCAGTCCTCCTAAGATAGCAAGTCTCCGACGATGCAGTTGTCACTATTACGTCAGCAATCATGAGAGTAGTTTCGGAGAAAAATATTTAATCCTCAATGTTTCTTTTGCTTGTCATGTTGCTGTTACTGCCGCCTTCGGAAATGCTTTTATTCTGTTATGTTTATAGTTATCGGGTTGTCAGCCAAGGTTTTTATTAAGTGCTGTAAAATATATTTCTCCTCCCATCCCCCGCACAGCCCGGTGTCAAGCGACTTGGGATCATAATAATAAAGGCACGTGCAATACTCCGCTGGAGGTGCGCCGGGCCCACGACCAGGGCTCCGTGCGTGGCCTCCCTGACCCCTTACAGGAACCCGCCAGGCAGGCCAACCTTTAGCCCTTACAAGCATGCACAACACAAGTTTTTGTCCTTGTAAGTTAAGGGCTCTGTCCTTTTCCAAGTCAATCTTTTTCTTAGGAAAATCATGACAATATAAAACAAAACAAAAAAACCACTTACAACTTTGTCTCATAATCTTTCCAAGCTTTGTCGAATGGCTTCTTGAGATCCTTAGAAAAAAGAAAACAAAACTGAAATTAAATGTACTGTTGTTTAAAGGCGAGTAAATAATTCTGAAATAACATCCTAGCAAAACCGCTCTCCTCTGTGGGACGCTGGAAACTTTATACAAAAGCCACCTGCACACACATCACACGACAGAGGCTTGAGATTGGCAGGGCACGCATCCTGGTCACACGTCAGTGATGTGGCACCCAGGGGGCCCACGGGGTCCAGCAGTGATGGAGCCCAGCCCTGCCCCACCCACCAGGGCCCTGGCGCTTCCTCCAAGTGTCTGGTCTTGTTCCTCGGTCAATAACATCACGTGAAGTGGCACACTCTTCCGTGATCCTTTTCCAACAACATATTTTTATGCTAAAAATGTTCCAGTGCCTTTCAAATACAAGTACCCCTATGATCTTAAAAGAGAAAAAAACCCCAATCCTTTCAAGTAACAGTGAAAATCAGATTCCGGACACTCACTCCTTTGACTCCCTTCAGGTCTCCTTTCAGCAGGGAGTCCAAGGTGAAGATCACATTGTGGCTCAGCCCCTGGAGCTGAAGACAAAGCAAAGGTGGAGCCGTTAGAGGGGGAGTGCACAGGGCAGGAGGCCGCTACTGCTGGCACTGCCCACGCACCGGTGCCAGGCAGCACCCGGGGCACCTGCCGGAGGGAGGACACCTCCAGGTCCCCCTGCGGCACCTGCTGGAGGGAGGACACCTCCAGGTCCCCCCGCGGCACCTGTGGGAGGACACCTCCAGATCAGGCGGCCTCGCTGGCCCTTCTACATCTCCTGAGCGGAGCTGCTGCCTGGATCCAGGCCGAGTGGCTGCAGGGCCTGTGCTCTGAACGGGGTGCTGCAGGGGACCCACACTTGTACAAACGATGCCTCGGATCATAGCTACAACTTTCCTGGTCCCTCCTACTGAAATGGCAGATCTTACTTTTTAAAAAATATACATTTTTTATTGATTTTAGAGAGGAAAGGAGAGGGAGAGAGAAATAGCAATAGCAATGATGGAGAGAATCGTTGATTGGAGCCCACAATCCGGGCATGTGCTCTGACCGGAATCAAACGGTGACCTCCTGGTTCATAGGTTGATGCTTAACCACTGAGCCACGCCGGCCAGGCAGGCAGATCTTACTTTGACTTTTCTTCAAATGCCTCAGTCAGAGCAAGGAGAAGATTATACAACTGGCGTTCACTTCCTTGCTATATTCTTTAAAAAATTTTCCTTTTTATATTCCTTTACGGCATTTACCATGATCTAAAACTATCCAGTTTGTTTATGTGTGTGTTCTGTCTCCCTGTCAATGCAGGCAGATCCGTGACTGTCCTGCTCACAACTGACCCTTGGCGCCCAGATTTCATGAAAAGGACAAGGTATTTAGGAGGCGCCGTCTACAGCTGGGGTGCAGCTTTCGTCACTGTTCTGAGCCAGTGCCTGGGTCTCTTGGATTTAAGATGGTGTAGACGCTACAGAGGAGAGAGATGAAGCTTGTCCATCCGAGGGAGGGATGGACAGGTGCAGGCAGTCGGCAACACCAGGACTGAGATGGCTGTGGAGTACACTCACTTCAAGGAGCTCCCAGCACAGGACGCCCTCACTAACAGCATCAACGAGTTCTGCACCTTGAAGCGAGATGAGACCACAAACCCACGTACACCACAGGCTAACTGATATAAACAAGGTTTAGGTTCCCACAGCATCTCGTCAGCATTAGAACAAGGTGGACCTGTTAAATCGTGGAGAAACCAGTTTTAGTAGCATGGGACCAAGACACCATCCACCATTTACCAGGTGGCTATTCTTGGACACCCTCTGTCCTAGGGGCTGGGGAGGCAAAGACAGATAAAACACCACTGCTGCCTTCAGAGATCTCGCACCCCAGGGACGGGCAAGCGCAGGCAGAATGCAGTCAGCAAGCCCTCTTCCGCCTTAACCCCGCGTGCTGCAGCAGAGGAGGAGGGAGAGGGCGGTGTGAGAAGGCCAGCATGTCCCTCACGGGCTTTGTGTATGCCCCACCTGTCATCACCTCTACAGTGAGATATTCTACCAGTGGTTCTCAACCTGTGGGTCGCGGCCCCTGAAAATAGATCCTGCATATCAGATATTTACATTACGATTCATAACAGTAGCAAAATCATGGTTATGAAGTAGCAACGAAAATAATTTTATGGTTGGGGGTCACCACCACATGAGGAACTGTATGAAAGGGTCGCGGCATTAGGAAGGTTGAGAACCACTGTAAGCTGTCCTGCCGGCTGCTGTGAGGATGGAATGAGCAGTGCACGTGGCAAGTGCTGGCTTACTCCCCGCCACTAGGGAGCGCTGTGCACACGCTTGTCTGTAAAGGCTCTGCATAAAGAGAACAAGGTATGCGGTGCTTGAGTTATTTCTGAAAGGACACGGCAAACTGCTGAGGCCCGGTCCCTCCGGACACTGGGTAGGCAAGGGGAGAGGGGCTTTTCACGCTGTACTTCTCTGCACTTTTTAAAGGTTTGGTAGTACACACTATATTGTTTACTCACAAAAAGTAAAACTTCTAAAACAAAAAATGAAAAGATAGCGATTATAAACAATTCCTTTTAAAAAAATATTTTTATTGATTTCAGAGAGGAAGAGAGAGGGAGAGAGAGAGAGAGAAACATCAATGATGAGAGAATCATGGATCGGCTGCTTCCTACACACCCCACATTGGGGATGGAGTCCTCAACCTGGGCATGTGCTCTGACCAGGAATCGAACCGTGACCTCCTGGCTCATAGGTCGACACTCAACCACTGAGCCACGCCGGCCTGGCTATAAACCATTTCTAATGCCAGGTCACCAATGTCTCAAATCCTCTGTGAGATGAAGCAGAAAAAACACCACCCCAGAATGCCATCGCCGCCCTGGTCTGAGAGCTGTGTGAGGAAGTAACGGCAGGAGAATTATGAAATCCGTGGTGAGTACTGAACGTGGGGTTTGAAGGAAGAGTCCCTCACCCGCCAGGGACTGACCACACAGCAAACACATGACACACGTCTCCACCTCGCAGTGGCGTCATGGCGGCCGGCTCGGGCAGGGCGGTGGCTGCAGGCGCCCTGGTGGGAAGCCTCAGGGCCTGAGAGTTTCCTGTGGTTATCCACACACACTCAAGTGGGGCTGATAAGAAAAACCCAGCAGGCAAACCAGTGTGCAGTATAGATCCAGTGTCCCCAGTGACAAGGACACAACTCAGAACTCACAGACTCTTCCCAACCTGCTCCCAGGAAAAGCAGGTTCATTGATAAAAACTGGCAAAGGAGGCTGTGTTCGTGGAAAGGGAATCGGACCTACCTGTCATTATAAAGACACAGCGAGACGGCAGAGAAAGCAGGCCCACCTCTCGAGGAGACGGTTAGGAATTACTCACTGGGAGGCCAAACCAAGTCTCCCCTGGCGATTCTGTGCAGAGGGACTTGTTTTCCCCCATATCGTAAGGCATTGCTCTGGGACAGAGAGGAAGCCCATGACTTTGTTGTTGGGGGATTCAGTAACTTTCCTGTCTGTTGTTTTGTGTGTGTGGTTTAAATTTATTTTCCAGTTCCCTCAGGAACACTTTTCATGGCCTGAGCAAGACCTGCGAACTGTTGTGTAACAACAGCATCTCCACAGGCGACTGCAGAGCAGCCATGAGAATACAGTGACAACACGGGGGACAGACTTCCTGTCGCACCTCCACTCTCTTCAACGATTTTTACTAAAAAGCCTTGCACAGCCCAGCTGGTGGGCTCAGTGGGTGAGCCAGGAGCTCACGGTTCGATTCCTGGTCAGGGCACATGCCCCAGCTGCAGGATCGATCCCCAGTGGGGCGTGCAGGAGGCAGCCAATTGATGATTCTCCCATCATTGATGTTTCTATCCTTCTCTCCCTCTCCCTTTCTCTCTGAAATCAATAAAGAATTTTTTAAAAAAACCTTTCAAATCTATCACATAGCTATCTTCCATTTGTTTTCCTAAAATTCTATTGATTCCATTCCCATTGACTCAACTATACTCCCTTTTCTTTCCTTTCACGGTAATGGTGAATTAACAAGTCCTTTACGTGATTCCACATGACATGAGGCTGAAGAGCATGTTTTAAAAAGTACATCCTTTCCATGTTGTTGAGCCACCAGCACATTCAACCCCCTGGGGGAATGACGCTGAGGGGCGGTAAACCCAGCTGCTTCCCAAACAAACTGCCGCCCGCTTCCTTCCTCCCAGACGGGCCGTTTCTCCCGGGAGCACAGCCATCGAGCCCGACCACGAATTCGGGATAAACCAGTTGGGAGGAAGCTGAGGTCTAGCCTTTCACTGCGCAAAAGGGGTACTGTAATTAATACTGGTTTTGATAAAAATAACCATTTATTCCTTACAACTGTTTAGACACTACCAGACAGGGTACCAATAGCCCCCGAAATCCCAGCTGTTGGTAATGACTTCACAGATAGTGTTCCTCTATGGACACCCACACACAGACACCCCCCCCCCACCCCGCTTCTGTCCTGATCTTTTCTACCTAACTTTAGAGTTTCACCACAATGAAAGGACCTCGCTTACCTGAATAGCGACCCATCTCTCCCCTCTAGAAGGTGATACTTAAGGGAGGCGCCTCATCTGTTCTGCTCACTAACTGACCAGAGCCCACAGCAGGAGCCACGAAGCAGCCGCGGGTCCCTGTCCTGTGCTTTCTGGCCACCATGTGGGCCTGTGGTGGGTGCCCGAGCTGCCCTAGGAGCCCAGGTGAGGGGCGGGGAGGGGCAGTGCGAGGGGAGCACCTCCACGACACCTCCCTGCCGTGACCTCTGTTAGCGACTCATCACTGGCTGGCTTTGTCACCTGCATTAATTCTTTTTTTTTAAAAAATATATTTTATTGATTTTTTACAGAGAGGAAGGGAGAAGGATAGAGAGTTAGAAACATCGATGGGAGAGAAACATCTATCAGCTGCCTCTTGCGCATCCCCTACTGGGGATGTGCCCGCAACTAAGGTACATGCCCTTGACTGGAATCGAACCGGGGACCCTTGAGTCCGAAGGCTGAAGCTCTATCCACTGAGCCAAACCGGTCAGGGCATCCTGCATTAATTCTGACACCTCCCTCCCCTGCCCCTCGGTTCTCTCTCCTTCCCTTCACAGGCAGAGACGGTTTCCTGGAAGTTAGGCGGCTGCGGATCCAATTAAAACAATGAGCCAGCTCCTGCAGGTCAGCCCGTTTCCCTGGGTAAGTTGGAGAGGGATGGGCCGGCAAGAGCTGCTCCCAGGACACGCTGGGGTGAGGGACCAAGGGCACCTCCAGCCAGCAGCTTTGACAACTGGGAAGACAGCTCTAGGCCGGACATGCCTCCACCTGGCTGTGTCCCCGCTCACTCTGGCCCTGAGAACATGGCAGGCCTATCAGGTCTGTAATGTACCCTCCAGTTACTATAACCTTATACATAATATGAGCTCTGGGGACACATTAAACACAGCAGGAAAAAATGCTGACCAACAGGAAACCGCAGCAGGGACACACTCACTGCCTCAGCAGCAGAGCGTGGCCCCCAACCCAG